CCAAGCCATCATTTAAATACAAAGCAAAATAAAGACATTTGACCCATACAAGATCTTAGAAAGTTTCTGTTCCACAGACTTTCCTATGCCACCATCTTGGTTTTTCCTTGTGTTTTTTTTATTATTATTATTATTAATTAATTTATTTATTTTTATCTCTTTCTGTTCCACAGACTTTCACTGTAAGAGAAAGACACTTGGCTTGGGAGAGGGACTGGGAGCTGGAGAGATGATGAGGCTTAATGGAGGGCCAGGGCTGCAGAGGTGGAGGGAAGCTAGGTTCTGTTTCGGGCCTCCCCTCAGCACCAGCCAGCCAGAGGAGCCCAGCCCAGCCCCGGTTCTCCCCTTAAGTGCCAGCCTTGCTGTCCCCTATCCTCTCTTCCTGGGCTGTGGTAGAGTCTCAGCATACAAGCTAGGGAGTAATGGCTGCCAGCCTGACTCAGAGGGCCTTGAGGAGGATGCACTCAAGTTGCTCATGTGACCAGGCACTTGACCTCTACTGAGCCCTCTTCACCTGGGAGGTCAGATGCCACCCCACAGGGGCCTATGGATAGCTGGAGAGGTAGGACAAAGGCTAGGTCCTTACCCAGGAGCTGAGGGAGAGGGCTCTCATTCTCTGTAGGAAAGAGAATCATAAACAGCGGGGACAAGACCGAAGGGGGTGAACTGGTGGGGACAGGTGTCTTAGAGCCTAGAGCTCTACTTAATCAGCTGGTGCCCTTGGGCAATTTCTTATCTTTTTTTGAGCCTCAGTTTCTCATTTACAAAATGGAGAGAATACCTACCTAATGTGGATGCAAAAATGAAATGGGATAACCCACTTAGGTTCCAAGCTTTAGGTATCTTTCCCTTCACAGAATTTTTTTTTTTTAATTCTCTATTTAAAACCCATGTGGCATTTTATCAGTGCTCAGTAAAACATGAACAAGAAAAAAGCAACGAGAGCAGAGGTAGGATGTGTGCAGTGTTTAAGGCCATCTGTGAGGAAGAGTTCATGTTCATTTCCTTACTCATCAGTTGCTGTTATTCTTTTGGTGTCAAGCCCTAGCCTACATGGGCTCGGAAGGCACAGAGATGACCTTGAACTGGAGGAGAACCATAGGTAAGGAAGACAGTCCAAACTAGAAAATTCTAAGAGTGATGGGGGTCTCTTCAGGATCTAACTTGTATTTTTGGTCTATCTCTTCCATTTCCTTTCCCACCTCTGCCTCCAACCCAACATAAGCTCCCTGACAGCATAATCCTCGCTTGGCTTGTTTTCATCTGTCTTCACAATGTCCAAAACAATGTCTGACACACAGAAAGTGCCAAAGAAATACTTGCTGAATGACTGTGTATTTGAGCACTAATAATAGAGACTGTAGAAGTTGCTATGGGAGCATCGAAGAGGTCTTTGCTAACTTCACTCCAGGAATTAGAGGTTTCTCAGCAAGGCCCATTAAATGGGGCCTTGATGGATGTATAGGAGATCAATAAGTGAAAAAGGACATTCCAGGCATTGGGGCCAGTACATTCTGAAAACATGGGAGTAAGTTCAGGGGCCAGCGAGTAATTGAATGTGGTAGAAACACACAGTGCAGGAAAGGGGAGTGGAAAAACACCAAACTGGGGCTTTGGGGCCTTGAATAAACTTAAGCTGTTGAAAAGCCCTTATTAAAATCTGACCACCTACCCTGATGCAATATTCTGGAAAGGGTAGTTTTCCAGTCCTCATTGTTGCCCTAGGAAGGTACCTCCCTTCAAACGTTACGGGTCTTCCCAGGAGGGGGCCAAGGATTAAGTGCCACTGAGAAAAGGGGCAGTCATACTTCATAAGTCCTAGTCTTGTCTCAAGTTGAATGAGGGTGAAACAAGGCATCTACCAGAAACTTGGGTGAGTGCTACATGCTGCCCCCTTGTGGCCTCAGCAGAATTGAGCAGCAAGGAAGCCAGCCAGGTGGTCTGTTGGTATCCCAGGGGCCTCCAGTCTTCTGTATTCACCTCCAGGAAAATTATCCTAACCACCAGCTGTCCACAGACCAGATCCAATTGCTTCCTTTATTCCACATATACTCAAGGCTGGGCCAATGGGTTTGCAGAAGCAGAGCAAAAGGAGTCAGTTCACATTTAGTAAAGCCTTGTTCTCTTACACACACACACACACACACACACACACACACACACACACACACACAAAATCTTTGGCCAGAAAGCAGCTGTGTATACACAGATCAGGAGACCAATGTTTTGGTTTCAGCTCCACTCCTATTCATGGAGTGCCCTTGGGAAAGTCACTGCACTTCAATGTGTCTCCCATGTCTCAATCTGCAACACAGGGATCACGATCTCTCTTCCTGTCTCCCCTGCAGGGTCACTGTGAAGATCATCAGGAGGACGAATGCTGCAAGTGCTAGGAAAAATGTTCAAAGAGTGCTCCGGATGTAAGGGGATCGTGCTGGGTATTAGATAGGGGCTGTCTTGGGCTGCACTGAAGTGTTTGTTTACACCCAGATGGGCCCTGCTGGTGGGGGTGGAATTTAAAGGGAACGTGCTCAACAAGGAAGCTGCTTGCCAATCACAACTGATCGAAACCTCCAAGGAAGAATGGAAATCTGAAGAAATGGGAACCCATTGACTGGCCTGTGTTTCCATAATAATTATGCTTAGATTTTCAGTGAGTCAAAGAGCAGCAAGGTGGGACAGTTCAGTGGCCTCAGTGTGGGAAGGCCAGTAACTCCTAGAGAGAAAAGTCGAGCTACAATGAAGATAACTAGATAAAGAGGAGGGACACTGAACTTGGGAGCCTGAGGTGCTGCCATAGACTACTTATGGGGAAGACTTAACTGCCTTCTCCTGGTGACAGAATCTGCTTCCCCTACCCTGATGACACTGGAGGTACCATGTATAAAACTAGGGAAATCTTTGCTTTTGTAAAAGAATGTCTTTTTTCTTCCTTTTATTGTGTGACTTTATTTTTTTAATTTTAGAGAGGAAGGGAGAAACATCAATGACGACAATCATTGATTGGCTGCCTCCTGCACACCCCCTACTGGGGATTAAGCCTGAAACCTGGGCATGTGCCCTTGACTGGAATCAAACCCAGGACCCTTCAGTCTGCAGGCCAATGCTCTATACACTGAGCAAACCGGCTAGGGCTGGTGTGACTCTTACCTGGTTCTGGCTCTTTTTGCGTTGGTGGCCCAGAAGCCCAAGATGAAGTGTGAGACCTAGTTCTAACTATGTAGATCTTTATAGCCAGGCTATTTGTTTCCTATGATCCATTTCCTGCTCAATTATATTCTTCCTAATTCTGACCTGTAATATTTTATTTCATTGTGTATGTTTTCATTGCAAGCTATCCAAATTTGTATGCGTGGAATAAGGTGAAGTACTCTCTGGTCAATGATTGAAAATAAAAGATGACACCGATGTCCAGGTTGACAGCAGATAATTTGGTGAGGAATTTTAATTACATCAGGGTCAGACTTAAAATCATCTAATATTAAAGACTCTTCCCCATCCCCTATCTCACACCTTGAGAGAGTCCCAAAGAGAAGGGAGTTGCCCAAGTTTTTATGGCATATTACTGTCAGAGAAGAAACCGATACTTACTTTTCCTGGCAATCAATTCTCTGATCTTCCCAGACAGCGGGCCTTATTCTACTTGAAAGGATAGCATGGTGAAGGTAAGGAAGATGGCTCCTCATTGGCCACTATGGTCAATGAAGTAGAATGCACTTTTTATTCCTGTTTCAATTAACAGAATACAGGCCCCGGCTATAGACCTTTTGTGACCTGCTTGACAAGGGGCTTAGGCTGCCCTCCACGGCAGATGCTACTGGGTAATGCCCTCAGCAGGCATTCAGAGTGCCAGCCCATGCCAAGACAGGAGAGGAGAGTTCTGCTTGGGTCCTAGTTTGAAGAATGGAGCTTTCTCATTGACAGATGCTCTCTCTTGACTCTCAACCAAACAGGACACAATTGAATCTGGCCCACAGTGGTAGCCCAGGATGTAAGGTGGGCAGGGGTCTCTCAGGAGCAAATAGATCCTGCTGAAGTTTACCTTTAAAATTAGCTGAAGACCTTAGTTTGAATTAGATATGTAGTTTCCCTTAGCCTTTTTTCAAAAGAGTCCCCTCATTCAGACACCCAACCTGAAGGCAAACAAACCTTTCCAAGCCTTTCCCAAGCCAAGTGGCCCTATGAATGCTGCCAAATACAGAACTCAAGACTCTTAATTGTCTAAAATGAGGTTTATTTCATGTCATGCATTGATGTCCATGCAGCAAAGGAGACTAGCACAATTCTTAATGCATTTTTTAAAAAAAAGTATGTATGGAGGTAAATGCAGTTCTAGTCTCCTTGGGTCCCTGGGAGATTAGGGTCTGGGAATGAAACCATCCACTCTTCTCTCCATGGCCAATGAGTCATCTCTTAAATGCAAGGATGTTCCCATGGCCTCTGGATGCAGGTGCACAGAACTCCAGGACAGGAGCAGGGACAAGGAGAGAAGACCACGAATAAAAAAGAATCTACACGCAGTCACCTAATTTAATCGGAGGACAGAAAAGATGGAAAGCCCTGGGGGCAGCAGCTGTTGCAAGAGTTAGGAGATAACATACACCCAGTAGGAGATTTGCTCCTAAAAAGAAGTGGAGGTAAAACCCCAAAAAAGAAAAACAAAAGAAATATATCTTCAACCACACTCTTCAAGAAAATGCCATAAATATGTTATTTAATATTTTCATTTCATAGCATTGGACACACAGCTCAACATATTGAAATATTGATTCCTCGGTGGAAAAAAAAAGGGAAAAAAAAGGAAAAAAGGAAATAAAAAATATTGCATTTTTCTGTTGGAGAATCTCGGCCCCCAGGTGTGGGGCGAAGCGCACCAGTGTCCTAGCCTGCAGGAGGCGCTGAGGTCGGCGGGGTCCTCTGGGGAGGGACGCTGTGCCCATTGCCTGGGGCTGTATGGCAAAAATTGTGTTGGGTGTCCTTGGCCTTGCCAGCTCAGGCCCTCAGTCTCCGGTCACCTGGGGGGCCTGCCCGTCGGAGGGCTGGTTAGCTGACTGGATGAACATGGGCTGGGCGAGGTCCTGGCCGGCAGGCATGGTGACTTGCTGGATCTGGTAGAGCTGCTGCGAGGGGTGGAGAGGAGAGAGTGAGGTCACCCCTGGGAGAGGGGCATGCAGCTCCCTATGGGCCTCGAGTTGGTTCGGGGCCCCAGATACTTCAACCACCACCCACTGCAAGGCGTCAGAGGGAGGAGGGGATGTGGAGCTCTGCTGGGGTTGGGAGCAGCAGACACAGGAGGCACCAGCACGGTGTGAGGGGGTGTGTGTAGTGGGCGGGGAAGAGGTGCAGGGAGTTGCATTTCCTGTGGCTTTCACTTCTCTGGGCTCTGCCTCTCCCGTTAGCTCAGAGCCTGGAGCTTGCTGCACGCTGTTCCTCTGTGACAAACACAAGCAATTCGAACCACTGTACCAGCAGCTTGGAAGTCAGCATTTCCCCAACTCTCAGTAATCCTCACTGGCAGGGGCAACAGGATTACCCCCTCTTCCTCCTTTCCTCAGAATATCTGACTACACTGAACCTGCACTTCCAGCATGGACCCTGCTGAGGAGGTCACCTGGAATTAAATACTTCCTACAGCCAAGACCTGTGAGGGGTGAAGCAGATGCTCACATAGCTACTTTGGGAAGTTAGGGCCAACTGGTCATTTGGTTTCTCAGTTGCCCCCCCAAAAACCAGCCAAAACCCCTGCCACAGGAGCCCTGGCATATGAACCTAGCACCCAGTGCTGGCAGGAACCAGAGGTGGGTGGTGCGGCTCCTCTCCTATGGGCAGCAGGGAACTCAAGCTCGGGCACATCATCCCATCATGTCCTCAGGGTGACTGGGAGCATAGTCATATATGAGGGGATAGGCTGAGGGAAAAGGAAGATTCTTTCTTTGCACGGGTTTAGAATTACTGAATTCCAGGCACTGAGAGGTTGAGAGGACACAAGTTCTCTGCGTTTCAACTAATCTATACCATTAAAGAGCAGCAGAGAAAAACTACCCTAGAGAGGGAAACGAGAGACCTGTGTTCTAGACCTTATTCTGCAATTAACAGCTGACTAATCATGGACAAAGCATTTCCCATTTCTAGGACTGAGTTTACAAATCTGTAAAATGGGGATTTGGGCTATATAATGTCTACAATGCTAAAGGACAGGCACCTGATTTTAAAACTGTACTTGTTTTAACCATTTCTGTCCACTCATTGTTAACAGAAAATAGGAAAGCTGCCCTAATCATCCAAACCCATAGATGTCATCCACTAACCCTCACCGCCACCCTCCCCCAACTTCTCACCCTCTGCCCCTGCTCGGACTGGGTGTCCTACCTGTCCATCTGTGAACTGGCTGAACTGCTGCTGACCTTGCTGGACCTCTGTCTGTGTGATCTGCAGGAATCAAGAAGGCAGAGTATGCAGGTCAGCTGCCGGGTCTGGTCCACCAGCCCACCACCCAGGAGAGGGTTGTAAAAATCAAATGAGACAATATATATAAAGTGACCAGAATAATGCCTGGCATAGAACAGGTGCTTGACGTGTAGCAGAAAAGCAAGGTTCCTCCCATCCCCTAGCCCTGAAGGCTACTCAGAGTTGGCACCATATAGAGCAGCGGTTGCCAACCGGTGGTCCATGGACCACTGGTGGTCTGTGAGGTCCGAAAGGTTGGCAACTGCTGATAAAGAGGACCCTGGAACACACGACATTACCAGTCACTACCCCCTCAACAAGGTCTTTTTGGGACTCAAATCAAACAGACACCTAGCTCATTGGTGCTGACATGAGTGAGCATAACATTTTCAGTTTAGTCAGAAACCCTAAGAGTCTTGCAGCCAGTGCAGACAATTTGTAAAACACCGGGCAAAGGAGTGAGTGGTCCCTTTCGTTCTTGGAAGGTGGGCTACAAACCAAACCCGTATCACCCAGATTATCTGACTGACTGGAATATGAAACACCCTGGCGAGCAGGTGGCCTTGGCCCTAAAAGCCCTTGTGGCAAACCTATAAAGTACTTTTTCCGATAGTGGCCACGTGCAGCCCTTTGGGCCAAGGATTCGGGGGGGGGGGGGGGGGGGGCAAGGAAAACATTTATCACAAGCACTTAAAATCTTAGGTGTGGATTTTTAAAGAAATTTACTGCTATGTAGAAATGCATTGTACAATGTCAACTGTTGAAAACAGCTTGGTAGACTAGAAAGAAAACTGAAGCATGCTTGTGTGCATAGGTGTATCTATGGAACATTTGACTAGTAATGTCTTCTGTGCACATCTCTTGGAATCATTACAGCCAACCTGCAAGGTAAGGATGGTCCTCTCAAGTGTCCTCACAATGGCCAAAAACAACCCATCAGGTCTAGGGGACACGTGTGAAAGAGCTTCATACTACTGTTCCTTGTTTTGGGTCTTTCTCCTCCTACCAGTCTATAAGCTTGAAGGCAGGAGCTAAGTTTTGTCTTTGAATCTCCCAGTGCAAATCAAGTATTCAAGAAATGTATGCAGAATAAATAAATGACCCTGATACAAATGGAAAATATTCCTCATAGATGAGATTAACTGGGCCATGGCCAGCAGTACTTCCTTTATATCAAAGAAAGCTTCATTTATCTTTAAATTCCATTTACACACTATTTATTTAGCATTCATTAAATGAACATTTACTAAGCACCTACTACATGCCAATTATCACAAGTACAATCTGTTGTTATACAGACTGTGACTGCCCTCAGGTGCTCTCTTCTTGTTTCTTCCCCTCCTTTCAGTAACCGCCCCCTCCCCAAGTCAAGCTTTCTGGCTTTAGTTTCTGACTCCAAAACTGGTATCTGGGAAACCAAGAACTCATCCTTCTCATTTCCTCCTACCCCCCAGGCCATAAAAAGTTTTTGGTATCCTAGGTTAGAATCTTACAAAAGTTTATGGGCGTGTTTTTTGTTGTTGTTTGTTTGTTTTAAAGCAGAGGATGAGGTACCCAAGGGTGTGGCCAGTTTTGAGCTCTAATTCCATGTCAGTGAACCCCAAGGAAATTAGGGAAAAGTCCAAGTTCCATGTGAGCCTTTAATGATTCCAGAGACTATATGGAACTCAGAAGCCTTACTTCTGGCTCATTCCTCACATTTTCCCAAATTAAATCTTTGGAGACTTGCTCTACAAACTCAGCTCTGTTACCACTGTCAATAGATACATCACCAGAAATGCAACTGAGCCAGACAGATCCAGCTCTTAAACGATTGCTGCTTTTTTTGGGTATGAGGCAAAAAAGAATCCATTAACAATGCCTCTCCTTGAGCAGCACCCCTCCCCCTGCAATGCTGCCCATACTCCTCAACCCCCATGCCTAGGGAGGCACCTTCAGCACCTGTGGCTCACAGCCTCCAATATGCTAGGGAGCAACCTCTGGTGAAGGGTGCCTGAGGAGGCGAGGATAAAATCCAAGTAAGCTTTCCAAAGGGCACAGGAGGGCCAGAACACAACAGCTATTCAGTTTTAAAGCTGGTAACAGCCTGACAAAGAAGCAGTCTGTCAAAATGCTTCCGGTGAGACCTGCATACAGGTACATCAGGTTTTCTTTAAGTATACTTGAGACTACCCTGCCTTGCACTTCAGAACAAAATGGTGAGACACACACTTTGAATGCAATTCTCCATGAAACCCCACCGTGGGGTGTAGGATAGATATGCACGTGTGGAGGTGGCTCTTGCTGAGGTGGGAGGGAGAATAATAAGGAAGCCAGTTCCTGCTGGTCCCCAAGTCAAGTCCTGTATCTCTGGGACACATACCTGCTGAGCATTGGTGGCAAGCGTCTGGATCTGTCCCTGCACAACTTGGGTGCCTGATACAGGCTGGGCTAAACGAATGTACTGTAGCTGGCCGGTGTTCAACTGCACCTAGGGCAGGGCAGAGACAAACAGACCACAGAAGATTGAGTGCAACTTCAAAGAGGCAAATTTTTCATGAGCCCTCCAAAAAATCATGCCCAGAAAAGTTCCTTTGTAATAGAGGTCAAAACAGCAAAACGTAACTTCCCTATCCTGCAAGTCACACACACAAGAGAGAATAGTTCCCTGAATGGACCTTGAAAAAACTCCGAGGATCTTGTCACATATATGAAAAAGTACAGCTGCACCCTCAACATTCATTGGCTCTCAGCTGTTTGCTCAGTTTATCTCAGGATTTTATCCTAAAGGCTGTCTAACATCATCAGAATGTTTATACCTTAAGTGTGGGCCTCTCTTCCCTCCAGCTCCACACTACTCCACCCAGTTCCCAGAATGGCTGATCTAATACTGTACTGAGAACAGCTCCAGCGACTGCCAGGAGCACAAAGCAGATGGCCGTTACTCCGAACCACCGCACTAGAACTGCCCAACTCCACACTGCACATTTCGGAAGAAAAAGCTGGCCAGCTTTACTATCTCTGTCCCCAAGAGCCAGGACCAACAGGATTCTGAGGGACTTTTAGGATCCTTGGTGTTCAGCACTTGCTTCTGGCCAAACGCCTCCCAAGGGGAAGCTGAATCAATAAAACCTTTCTCAGAAAACTCCATCATGGGAAACCAAACCTACAAAAATGCCCTTGGAATCCCTCATGCTTAAGATTAAGTCTCAGATAATACAATAATACCACATACTGCACTTAATTGTGTGCTAAAAGCCTTAATTCAGGCTCTTAACACTCCAGTGTACCATGGAAGTTTTAGTGCTTTGAATGTGCAGATGAAGAAAGGGCCAAGGTGTTTGCAACACAAGGAGCTGTGGCTCAGCAGAGAAGTCAGCAGAGAAGGGCTGCAGACATTCACACTTGGGATTTGGGGCGCCCCGACATTACCCTCCTTGGCTGCTAGCTGCCTTTGTTGTAAGCTAGTTGTGAGCTTCTTGAGGCTAACAGGCCTCTGTCCTGGAATAAACACTCCTCTGCCTTCAAGAGCTATTGCCACTGAAGGGAGCTATACTTCCACGAGGAAAATGCTGGTAGGCTGAAATGGCTCTCCTGTGTGCAGTGTTAAATCAAACTGCTTCTTTGAAACTGCCAGCCTGGAAGAGGATTGGAACCACCCAGGCTAATTCTGAAGTTCTGGTGGATCATTCCAGAATTGTCTGCTTAAGGCGAGGGCCTCAAAATCTAAACCTGTAAGAATCTACTTCAAAAGGAGATAGGGCATGATACTGTGACCGGCAGTCATTTATTTCCTGAGAATATGCTGAGAGGAGCGGCTGGGAAGCTGTGATGCCAAGCCGCCCTTTCCCCTCTCAATCCCTTGATGCAGCTTTCCAGGCAACGATGTTAAGATGCTTATGGGGATGAAGGCATACGAGACCTCACTGCTGAGACTGACGGCATCTGATCCCAGGGGTCAGAGAATTCCAGCCAAGATGCACAAGATGAAAGACTAAAGCCTTGTCCCAGGAGTGGGAAGGTGTACTGAGGCCATTGCGGATTTCCATTTTCTTGCTAGGAAGAGCTCTTTGCAGAAACTCAAATGTGTACCAACTAGTTCTAAGCAGCTCTTAGAAGCTAGAAGCTCTTCTTTTAGGTTTAGACATATGATGATATACTTCAGTCCACTATTACAAGATAAGTCTGGGGATCCTCACAGCTTTTTTATGTTAATTAAAGGGCACATAAGTCTACTCCTTGGGCTTTAAAAAGAGAAGCAGTTTCCTTCCTGAAGGTCATCACTACTGCAAGCACACTGATGAGTTTAGAAATGCAAGCTCCTATCCAAAAACCGTGAAGACAAGATCCTAAATTCTACTCATCTGTGCTAAAGCTCTGTGCGCCAGAGGGTTAAGAACACTCGAGCTAGTTATCCTCTCTGGCTTAAATGAACTTATTTTGGTGCCTCCACATGAATGAAAACCATTCAAGAGGGAGATCTTGGGGTTGATGGTTAAAAAAGTGAGGCAAGGCACCTGCAACTGATGGAGAGCGAGTGTGTGTGTGCGTGTGTGTGCGCGCGCGCTTGTGTATGTGACAGACAGGGGAGAGGGAGGGAGGAAGAAGAGAGGAAAGACAGAAAATGATAGGCAGAGACACAGAGATACACACTCACTTCACTTTCCTAAACTTTCTCCTGGACTCATACTCTATTAACCTAATAAGAACAGTTTCAAAACCAGAGATGAGGATACTTTTTGAGCTTTTTTCAGAGAAAGTGGTTAATTAAGTCCAAGTGAATTTCCAGATTTGCCTACATTTCATTTACAATAGGAAGAACAAGAGGTAGGAAATAGGACTGCTCCATGTCACTCACTCACTTTCTACATTTTTTAGTGGCAAAATGACCAATGTATAAATGGCAAGTATTGAGACAAGAACATTTTTAACAAAAGAACAAGTAAAAAAGTCAACAAATCTAAGAAATGAAATCCCTCAAGGCACACAGGAAGCAGTAGTCCACAGTGAAGAAATGGGTAAGTTAAACGAAAGCCAAAAATACACTTTGCTGCAGGCTCCAGTGGGAACTAATGAATATGCAACAAGTGTATTTATGGTTTTCCCTATACACCTCCCTCTTATTCTTTGATAATCAAAAGACAGGGCCTTTGGGCCTTGGCACAGAATAGTAGTTCCAATGACTTCTGCACGTAGGTGGAGTGAGAGGAAATTAAGAGGAGCTACCCCACAGTGGTGAACTTTAACTTGGGTTAAAGAAAAGCAGTGAGCACAGAGTGAAGCAAGTTGTGGTTTAGGGTAATAGGAATATTGGTTTAAAAAATGTTTATATGTGTGTGTGTGTGTGATATACAAACCATGCAAAATATATACGCACACACACACAATTTTTTTTGTCTCGCTGTATATACAGATATAAAATCTTTAAGTATCTCTGTTATTATGTTGAAGAGTGCCATGCAAACCTGAGACAAGGCAGGGCTTACCGGGATCTGCTGGATCTCTCCTGTGTTTGTGATGATCTGCTGCATCACCTGCATGGTCTGTCCAGTGCTGCTCTGGGCCTGCTGGGCTTGACCCTGCGGCTGGGCCTGGACAATCTGCACCTGCTGACCTTCTCCAACCTGCATGGTCACTGGGGTGGTCTGGAAAGAGTCATGAGAAAGCTGATTGAGTCTGGCTCAGAGTCAGTAGACTTACCAAGAGGTTAATAACCAATGGTTAACTAGGAGCAAATCCTCTCCATGAATGCCTGAAGTCATGTTAACACCAAATAATACTCAACCTATAGTTCTTTGGGCTTAGAGCACTGTGCAAGTCACTCACCAAAATAAAAGGTGAAAAAAAACATAGATTTATTTTTAGGGTCATAGTACAAAATATTTGCCTAAACATCTCTATGCTTCAAATGCTACAATTTTTCCCAGCCACTTCGATGATAGTAAGGCACATATGGTACAAAAGAATCAAAAGCAACCACGACAGTTCACTTTAGAAATAGCCAAGTTAAATCTAGAGTAGGTGAATTTGGGGGGCAAACTAAATGGAAAGTGGGGTAAGTATGAATTACAAATTTACTAAATTTGGGATCGTGGGCTCTTTTTTAGGCCTGCAAGACATTGTGAGGGAAATAAAGTGCACACTGGTTTTCACCCCATTTAAACAGCAGAGCGACCGCAGCGGCCAGCTGGCTGCTCTGGATCATAGCACAGCTGCCTGTGGGAAAGTGAACAGGTAAATGCACTGGACACCAAACATTGAATACCTGTATCTTAACTGAGGCCACCTCTAAGTAACAGGATGGGGGAGACAGACAGAAGGACCTATATAAAAATGAATGCAGTTGGTTAGGACAACAGGAAACAGCTCCTGTTCTCACACTGCAATTTTCAACTCAGCCTATCCCCCAAGCCTCCAAGAATGAAAGATTCCAATTTTATGATAGAAAATAGAGGATTCACTTCACCAAAATATGATTTCCTTCGATTTTATTATGTATTCTGTATCTGTACTCAACCTGAAACAGCCATTACCTCAGAGGTCCTAGGGTGTGTCACACAACACAAGGCCACCCTTATTCAGTAACACAATAGCTGGAAGATACTGGGAGGGACCAACTTCACAATCCTCACAAGCCTTATTAGCTCTAGGCTGAGCAAGTCCAGGGTGGCAGAAAAGAGGATACATAAAATTCTTGCTGACTAAAAAAAAAAATGCATACTGCCAACTCATCACTGTACTCTATCAACTCAATTTTCCTGAGAGGATTTTCAAAGTATTTCTAAATCATTTCAGGAAAATGAGGGCTTGTGTTAGCATAGCAGCTGTCAAATCACGGATGGCATGCCCTGCTGTCAGGGCACAACCACCACGAGCTTCTTAGGATGATCAGCCAATCAGAGCCAGTCTTTACTAGACTCTTGAAGTTCTCTCTATAAAGGATAAAGCCTTTGTCGGGCAAAGCTCTCACCACTGCAGACGTACAAGCAAGAGCTAAAGAAGTTCCTTTAGGCATCACAGTGCAGTGAATTCCTTAAGAGAGGGATTGAGCTCCAATCATCTTTGAACCCCTCCTGCTAACATGGCGTCTGGTCAAGACAAGCATTTAATAAATTTGTTATATGGATTAAAAAAAAAAAAAAAAAAAAAAAAAACAAGCAGGGAATACATCCTAAAATCACAATTATATTTAAATTTACTGCCACTTCCATTTTATTCCTTCTAAGCAAACTTCGTGTGTTTCCTCACTAGAACACACAAGGCAGTCTAGAATGTGTCCCCCACCTGTCTTTTCAGACTTGCTAGATGTTCCATGTGCTGCAGCCTTTCCCCACTGCCTTGTGCTATTTCTCAACTCCAAGCCTTTGCTTGTGCTGAGCTCTATACTGGGAAGTACCTCCTTGTCTACTTTGATTCATTTCCATTATTCTCTCTAAAACTCATATTATTCCCTTAAAGGAACCTCCTCTGACATCCTCTTCTACCACTCCGTCACATCTTTGTTAGGTACCCCTTTTGATGCATTCCCATATTACCTTCTACACATCCTAAGAATATCTTATACTTCCCACATGGTGGTATAATCTTTAATTATTTGTAGCCCCAACTAGATTGTGAATTCTTAAAAATAGGGACTGCTTGACTCATGCTTGTGTCTCCAACACATGGCATAGGACTTTACCTACAGAGGATGACCAATATTTGATGAATAAATAGATGACTGACAGAGAGTTTGAGTTCAGAGCTCAGAGTTCTCTGTAGCCTCTCATGATCCCAACAAATGTGTATATTATTGCCCTCACAATTGTATTAGGGAGAGAAAGAATATTCTGATTACTATTGTAAAAAGAGAAGGACACTTGATTCAAATACAGTAGGACAGAGTAATGATGGGGAGAAAGGGAGGAGAGGTATGCATGCCTGACCTCTCCCTTAAGGATACAATCCGATTCTGGTGTAGACATGGAATCCACTTAAGACACCTTCTACAGAGATGCCACTACTCTCCGTGGGGTATTGCACAGTTTTTCCTTCTAAAAGTTTTTAGCTCATAGGGATCCTGAAGAACATCTTGTCCACTACACTTTCCTCACTTGACTATGAGAGATTAGGGTGACATGTCACCTCAGTGGCTGAGTCTTGGGAGAGCCCAGGTTCCCAGACTTCAAATCCAGTACCTGTCTTGCCCTGATCAAGCTTTCACCATCCCAAACCTAAGAAGTACTATCTTGCTGGGCAGGCACCCTCTGCAGCTCACAGACCTGACCCTGCTGAGGCTGTGCAATGATGATCTGCCCGGGCTGGATGGTGGTTGTGGAGCTGGTGGTCTGCTGGCCTTGCTGCTGCCCCTGGACTTGGACGGCGGTGGGCTGCTGAGCCAGCGTGAAGTAGTACTGGACAGGCTCGGCAGGAGTCACAGACTGGCGTACCTCCTCCTGTGGGGTAGAAGGAGAGGCAGGTAAGAAGAAAAGAACCGACTCAGCAGCCGCCAGAGTGAATTTCCATTCTTCCCCCAAATGGGCTCTGTGCCGTTGCCTGCTGAATGCTGAGCTCTCCACATTTGGAGCCAAGAGAAACTGGAATTCGAAGAGACCAGTTGTGCTACCTCAAACTAAAAATAACAGATTCCATAGGTTTCACCAAACTTACAGCCAATTTTCTGAAGTAGAGGTAGCACCCATTGCGTGGTAAGTTGCAAATGGGCAAATAATTACTGCCACTAAAAGCCGCACACTAGCAGTGCTTGTGAGTAAATGCGGTTGAGGCTGTGATCTGAGGACAGTGCTAACTGTGAGACTGGAAGATGCTACCCAAACGTCAGGCTCTCAGGCCGGTTCCCAATCTCCCTAACAGGCACCACTCTCCTTATTTTGTTCCCACCACCTCAGGAGGGACAGAGTGAGGGAGAAGGACATAGGGCTTTTCCTGGGTTGAAATTTCAGAATCAAATGTTCAGATCGAGAGCATCAGTAGGCAAGTGCTTAGCTTTTCACAGTATGTTGAGAGCTCAGTGGTCACTGAGGGCCACATCTATCCAGCGTCACATCTGGTTCTGGTTGTACTTAGCCACAGAAGAGCAACCCAGGGGGCCAGAGGGACAGCTCTCCGCTGGGAGCTGCCTTGGCTGACTAGGGAGGTCGCATTCTGTCCGATCTGCTGGGTGAAGAGACTGTTCTTCTTCAGCTGACGTTTTCCATGGCAGAAGGAGTAAACAACCCTCTCCCAGCCACCTTGAGCTCACAGCTGAGAGTGTAGGATGTTTACACACACTACGGCATGGTTGTAGCCTGAGGGTCCAGGGTTGGTCGGCCCCTGACCATTGACACAGAGATCAGCATCTGCTCCAGAGGACCCTGGGGCACACGGTACCCCTGCCTGGGACAATAAAAACAACAGAAATATACAACTTGCGCTGGCTGAGCAAAAAATTAACTAAATTTACTCACTCCCTTGTTCTGGGCTAAATTTGCCATGTTCAAGAGAAGAGAAAAAGATAATTCTTCAAGGAATAGAGACCCTGTTGATTGCCTCAAAGCTCCCCAAAGTGACATTTACATAGTTGGCACTGACCCCATCATCCCCTCATTAGGTCAGGTCTAGACTGTGCTTCCAGTCCTTTGCTCACTGAACTTTTTTGTCCTGGCTTGTCAAATTAACTACTTTCCCATGAGGATAAAGCCTAGCTCTCTCTTGCTCTCCACTGTCCCCACTACTCATTCCCTTGTAGGCACCTAATAAGCACTTGCTGAATGAAAATGGATTTATAGAGCCAGGCAGACAGAGATAAGAAAATACAAGCACACCATGTATTATTGCACTTGGCTTTATTGCACTTCCCAGGTGTTGAATTATTTTATTTTATTTTTTTTACAAACTGAAAGCAAGACCCTCCATCAGTAAAAAGGTTATAACTCACTTCATTGAGATACTTGCTTTATTACAGTGGTCTGTAACAAAACCGGCAGTACCTCCGAGAATGCCTGTACTTGCTTTATTGTGGCCTTGAACTGAACCCGCAATCTCTGAGGTATGTCTGAATTTTTTTAAAAAAATCTAAGTTGGTAGTAGAATACATTTTCTTGAATACAACAGTTGTTACCAATATAAGAGACCCTAAACTCTCTTTGCTACCTCTAGGATTTTGTAGTCTAGTAGGGAGAAATCCATGTCCCCTGTAGAACAGGACTGTGCACTATTTTGCTTGCCTGGTGCTTGGGGGGCCCAGGATAGTAAAACTAGGATTGCTGATATACAGCCTATGAGACACTTGGGTCTCTGCATGACCAGAATCCCTGATGGCCATCCACTCAGCCTAGGCTGACACTTGTGACATGCTGGGTTTCTGAGCTAGTACTCGGACATGTACCAGTTTTTTAGGTTAATGTATTCTGTGCTTCAGACCCAAACAGTTTGAACACTGACTGTGATCATTCTGAGGCAGAAGAAAGAGGTAGGGGGTCCCCTTTTATTTTCAGCTAGGTGTGTTTCCAGAACAACTCAACTGTGAAAATGTCACCTCCACTTCAACTCCAACTTCTATTATAAATTAAGGTCAGTCTTGTCAACTAAACCTTGGCTGTGGCAGGGATAAACTGATATCCTCCTTAGCCATGAAACTGATCTTTTTCAAAGCTCTTGAAATGAGTTCAATGAATTCATTTTCCATTGAGATTTCCCTTCCTACTTTATAAAAAACATTAATCATAAAGTTAAGACCTAACTTGAAAAAGCTCTTGGGTGATGAGAAGGTATAGAGGACCAAAAGCCCCCCAGAACAAACTTGCAGGAAGTCAGGAGGCATGCAGACACTGGCCTTTCCTACTCCTGACCTGTGATGATTCTGTATCCAGTTATCCCTGACTGTAGCTGATCTACAAATGAATATGGTCTTTTCACTAGACACAAAGCAAACCCTTTTAAATATCCCTTTCAGAAGCCAAAATACCCTTTGCCAAAAGCTGGGAGAGCAGGTTAAGAGCTTCTGTGCTGCCTACTGTAGCCTCCTAATTTGTTTATGAACCAGGCAAGGTCTAAGACATTCCATCAAGTCAGCTTGCGCTTTGAGGAGGGCATGACTGTTCTCAATTCACTGGAATGGAAGGAGGCATATATGAATACTCATTCAGCCAATGGAGGTCAAGCTAGCAGGGGAATGATTATGCTTGGTTTAAAGAGATGGGTAAAGAGAAATGATATTTCAATGGGCAAGGAACTTTCAACTCATAGCTTTAGTGGGGTACAAGTCAAGCCTCAACAACCTTCTATTTTCAAATAGTTTTCATTTGCTTTCCTGAAGAACAAGAGAAATTCCCAAGCATCTCTGAGAAGTCAAGGGCCTTAGATCCCCAACTCAGTATCTGTGGCTAGTTCCTTTCCCAAGTAGTGGAACATCATCCCAGATGCTAGAACAATCTTGGAATGAATTGCTGAATCAATCCAGAATGGGGTATTTGCCCAGCTCTAGCTGTGGCCTCCCCAAACAGGTTTTACTCTTGGGATGTGTTCAGAAGTGGAGACTAAAGCCAGAGAATGAGCAGCATCACCTACCACAGTGTTGTGCTACCAGCCACAGACTGGAAAAAAGTACATTAGCTGCAGTAGTAAGAGCAAGCGGCTGCCTCTTCAGAAAGGTTGAATTTTGGAGTAGGTGCTTTTCCAGGACTTAAAAAGGTGTCAGCCTATTTGGAGATTGGGAAAACTTCATGCCTACAGAGGATTACAAATGCTACCTGAGAATTTCAGGCCAGCTTCCAGTAATCTCAACCTTTCAAAGGCCAGGCAGCAGCTGTCCCAAACAGGATGCCAATTAATGGCTTGAACACCTACAAAGAACTGAGTCTAGACAGCAAGGAGTTGTTTTAGCTAGACACGCTTTAAAAAAAGAGATGGATTACAACATTTAGAGTCAAGATGGAACAAGGAGGTGTCTGACACCCTAAGAGAGCCAAGTACTGAGGACTTCGGAGGAAGGAACAGGACATGACCCTTCTCTCCTGCCAGTTGATTCAGCAGGCAGCCCATATAGAACAAGCAGAAGTTAGCACAAGGCCTGATTTTCTGACAGACCTCACCACTTTGTTTTTAAAGGGGGCTGCTCAAACAAATTCCAACATGGAGAGCATGTGTGTCATATCATTTTTTTTTAAGGAAGAGAAGTGGTCTGGGTTCTTGCAGTAGTGACTTCTCAGAGAGGAAGGGAGCCCACGGGCACTAACCTGCAATGTCTCAAAGCCGATGCACAACCAGGGACGACCGTGGCAGCCTGCCGCTGTAAACATCCGACTGAAAGCTCCTCTGAACACCTTACAGCTTCCAGTCAAGGATGTTTACAGTAGCAAAGACTGCCCAGAAAGAACGGAGACACAGTGAGGCTCCCTGTACTAGTAAGGGGGTAACGGAGGGCTTACTAATCCAAAGGCTCCCAGGCAGGGTCAGGATTACAAATGTCTTTTAAGACACCCACTTGTCTTACACCTGATTGGTTATTAATAAAGACAGCCTGAGAGTCACTGAATGACCCGTTTCCAACGATAATATACTATGAAATAATTCATTAAAACCACTTAAAAGTTTTGTTAGAAAATAAAGCAAGCAGAACAAGGCACACCTTTGCTCCCGCCAGACTCTGGTACTATTCCCCAAGTGTCTCAATTACACCTGATGAGTCACAAATTATGTGCCCGAACAAATGAGTTATAAAGGATAGGGGCCTATTAAAACCACAATTAAGAGACTTATACACCCAGTGTGCTGGGGGGGGAAAATCGGTGTGAACTTTGGAGAGGGGCAGGTAGAAGATGGGAAAGACAGGCAGATAGACATTCACATTCTTTCTAGTGATTGCTTAGAAAACAGTTTTAGCAGTGGTTCTCAAATCTGGTTGCACATTAAAAGCATCTGGGAGCTTTAAAAAGTACCAATGCCTGGGCCTCCACTCTCAGATTCTGATTCAACTTGGTGTGGGGTGGAGTCTGGACATTGGTATTTTTTAAAACCCTAATAGATTTAATATGTAACCAGAGCATTATATAGAGAACCACAATCAAGAGTAAGAAAAAACCAAAGTCTACTCACTCCAAACACACCGTGCACATAGATGCTGTTTCTTGAAAATCTAAAATCTGTAACTGGACATGTTCTCCCATCCCAGATTAAGAACTCTGATAGAGTTCCTAGGATACCTTAAAATGAACTTCACTTTTACTATTTATAATCAAAGTCTTTAATTTTAACTTTATCTATTTTCACTGAAATACCACCTCAGCGGCACTGAGTTAAAAGTATCCATAAATGAGTAGCAGAAGGAGATGTTAAGGATGGATCTGGTCTAGAGAAGTAGCAAAAGAAATAGCAAATGGCTTGTGCTGAGAGAGGGAAGGGAGCATTATTAGACACCCATATGCAAGGTGCTTGGCAGCAGCAATGCTTTCCCAGCTCACCTGACGCTTTGGAGGTTTCAGTTCATCTCTTGGAACAATATCGATGAGAAAGTCAAACTGATCAAATTTTGTAATTGCCATGGCGATATCATTCCTCTGTAACAAAGAAAAGTGAGGTGAAAAATTAGCCTGGGGAGAAACTAGTTCACCTGGCTTTATAACTTCCAGGTTACAAGAGAAGATGATGACTTCTAAGCCAAATTAAGTACCCATGGCCAAGTCTATAGCTGAAACAAGCACAGCCAAACTCTTAGTAACTTCAAATGATCAGACCTGCTAGAAAAATATCTACAAAGTCGACAAAAAAAAAAAAAAAAAAAAAAAAAAAAAAAAGCTACCTGTAGCTTGTGCTCCACAAGCTGAATATTTGAGCCTCTAACTACTACTGCCTCTGCTAGATTCTGTCCCCAGGTCCTCTCCATGACTGTTAAACAATGGACCTCCAGCTAAAACTGTACAAATCTAGCAATCTCAGGTAGCAGGTTTCTGGTCATTACATGGTTAGCAAAGTTAGGCAATTATTCAATTTTATAACCTTTTTAAGACTCTAAATAGTATTTTGCCTTAGTTCAGAAGCAGTTAAAATCTATTTTGAATTTCCTGGCTGAAATCCTAATTCAATAACTTTTTGCAATATTTTCTAGTTATCGTACTGATCTGTATCTTAGTTTCCAAAATTTTTATTTTGGAATTCAAAATTGCAATGTTAATTAAACCCATGGTTTAAATCTTGTTTAACGTGATATAAATATTAGAAGTCTGAAGTTACTAGAACAGAGGCTCAGGTGGGCTGAGAACACAGGAGTCGGTTGACTAATAATTCTGAAACCAAGGCCTGCTTTGAAGGGGTTCTTTCTAAGAGTAACACTTCCTTTCTTTAAATAATAAAAATGAAATGTTCTTTCTTTCTTTCTTTCTTTCTTTCTAAAAGTCAACATATTAACAGTGTAAGAAAATTTTAAAGAAAAAAAAAGGGGGGAAAAGAGTGAACTAGTGAATGATATGCATGTATTTAGGGGAAAATAAACTTTGAAATTCATTTAAAAATAGATGATGAATGGATGGATAGAAAGATAGATATGTGGATAAAATATGTAAACTTTTAGTGGCAAGACCCAGGTGGTGAGTATACAGGTGTTCACTATAAACTTTGCTTATGTGTGAATTTTTTCATAATAAAATGTTGAGGTGAAGAAAAAGTCAACCTTCTAAGCAAAATCCTTAGCAACCTCTACATATCACATCTTAAGAAAAGGTGACTCATCAGACAAAATAGGAGGGGATGGAAATTTTCTGTTTTTTTCCTTCCCTTGTCTCTGTGATGGCCCAAAGCCACTGAAATGCAAAACTTCAGTCCTCCATTCTTGCCAACAATCAGCTTGATAATAAACCCATCCTACCAAAGCAGGGCACATTTTAAAGCTGCCAGGACTCATTTACGATTAGCAGGATATAGTATCACATTCTTGATGATGTCACCTACTCAAAGCTATCTAAACGGCTCATCTAAGCATGAAATGAGAGGAGGGGGTAAAGAGAAAGAAATAATAACCACCTTCAAACAAACACTAATGTGTTCTACAGTATTTTAAAAAAAAACATAGAAATACTTTAAATCAGTCTTTTTAACACTGTAATTTTTAAGTGCTAACATTTTACTGAATTATTACTCATATTCAGTAAGATACATAAATCTTAAGTACACAGCTGGGTGAATTTTTATAAATATATACACCCATGTGGCTATCACCTAGATAAGAATATGAAGTTCCCTTCCATCACTTTCCAGCCAATTACCATGCCCTCCCTACCCTTATACCCCAATCTGAGGTAACCACAACTTTTATTTCTATCACTATGAACACTACATGGCACCATGTGCTATGTATTTTTTTTTCTCTGCTTTCTTTTACTTAACATGTTATTTTTGTGATTCATCTATGTTGGATGAATCCATCATTGGATCAAGTCTGTTTCTTTTATTGTTGAACAGTAATTAATTTCAAAAATATATCAATTTTTTATATAGTATATTCCTATCTTGATTTTAGTCACTTAGTGGGTATAAACTAGCATCTCACTGTGGTTTTACTTTGGATTTCCCAGATGACAAATTATGCTATGCACCTTTTCATATGCTTACTGGTCATTTGGAATCTTCTTTTTGGAAGAGCCCATTCCAATGTTTTGACCATTTTATTTTATTTTTTTCTTAACTGATCTTGAAGGTAACTTCAATTGGCTCTTTAGATCTACAGACTTCCTTCAAGGCAGCCATAAAGTAAGTTCTCAATGTTTAGCTGCACTAGAATGTAGACTTCTCTGGGGTGAAGACTGTTGTCTGTTTTGTGTATCCAGAGCCTAGAAACAGTGCTCGGCACATTGTGGGTGTTTAATAAATACTTATAGAATAAACAGATAGATAAATAAATAAATGTTTTTGCAACTTTTGAGGTAAGAGAAAAATAAGAAGATATAATTTACACTTTTGGCTTTGTTGTCAAGATATTGTCACTCTCTTATATTTGCGACATCTTACTCTATGTCTGAGAAATGCTTCTTCGAAGAGCTAGGCCCTGGTGATTGAGGGGAGAGCCTCTAGAGCCAATGACCAAGAGGTTTTCATACAATATGAATGTTGGTTTGCTGGATTAAAACAAAAAGAGAACAAAAAAAGAAGAGAAAAAGGATTCTCAGGAAAGCAGACAAGGAAAGAAAGACTAATGAGGTCAGTAAAACTGATTCTTCCTGGGACTATCCATTCTTGGAGTCTCTCAAGGCTTCCAACCAGAAGTTGTTTACATCTGGAAATAGATAAATATAAGTTTAGCCTCCCTCTGTTTATAGTGAGGACTCACCAAGTGAATAACTCAGTCACTGAGTTGTGAAAACCATGGGAGAGCTGGAAATTAAAATTCTTGGTGGGGAAATACTATCATGGCCATAAGGTATGACTGCCTCCCAACAGTAGAGGAAGATACCAATTACACTCAGCTTGTCAGAGGCCTAAGGAAAAATAATATTTGGTCTAAGCTATGCAAGAGTAGCAGGCAGCTAGCTACTTGCCCAGTTTTCCCAATGTAGATCTATAATATTACCTGTAGAGTCCGACGCTTGTTATCCTCTGTGTGGATCCAGGCTCGAAGAGTCAACTCTGTGATAAAAATCTGGGCTGCCTTGGCAAAAAGCACAGGGGCTTCTGCACTGATCATCTGTAACAGATGTAGGTCTGTCAATCATGAGTCATTCAAACCAGTTAATTTGCCCCTTATCTCATGTTCTGCCACTGGACTATGGGGCAAGTGTTAGAAAATGAGAATGTGGTAGCCTCAAGAGATTCCATGGTAAAATAAACCCACAAATAGGAACAAAACAGGTAGAAGGGAAGAGGAAAAAAGAACACTTATCTAGCACCTACCAGGCACTTTCTTACTCTCATAACAGCCTTGTTAGAGAAGCTAGTTTTTTGTTTTTTTGGTTTTTAAAAAAATATATTTTATTGATTTTTTACAGAGAGGAAGGGAGAGAGATAGAGAGCTAGAAACATCGATGAGAGAGAATGATTGATCAGCTGCCTCCTGCACACTCTCCACTGGGAATATGCCCGCAACCAAGGTACATGCCCTTGACCGGAATCGAACCTGAGACCCTTGAGTCCGCAGGCCGATGCTCTATCCATTGAGCCAAACAGGTTTTGGCTAGAGAAGCGAGTTTTAAGAGAGGTGAAGTAACTTGCCCAGGGCCATAAAGTCAATAAGTGATATAATCCAAAAGAGACAAGGTAGGAAAATAATGAGTCTGAGAGCCAATGGATTTAGGCAAAATCTCAAGCTTCCCATCCTTTTGGGCTTCATTTTTCACAAACTGAAAAAGAGGATAACTTTCCAGTACTATTGTGGGAATAAAATGAGAAGATATATATGTATAAACTCCCAGCACAGGGACTGAAACACAGTAAGTACTCAAGTAATATAAGCTCTTGGCCAAACAAGGCCCTGGATCCTTGGTGAGATCGTCTGTATAAGATACAGGCATTGGCCGAGACTGGTTTGGCTCAATGGATAGAGCGTCGGCTTGGGGACTGAAGGGTTCCGGGTTCGATTCCGGTCAAGGGCATGTACCTTGGTTGCAGGCATATCCTCAGTAGGGGGTGTGCAAGAGGCAGCTGATCGATGACTCTCTCTCATCAATGTTTCTAACTCTCTATCTCTCTCCCTTCCTCTCTGTACAAAATCAATAAAAATATATTTAAAAAAAAAAAGATACAGGCATTGGATGAGCTATGGAGTTAAGGAAGCAGATGAGTATTGGGATCTTGGTTCTCCTACTCTAGGCAAGTCAATTTTCATTTTTTTTTTTTGGGGGGGGGGGTCCTATCTCCATATCTAGAAAATTAAACTACTAATTCTTATCCTACCAAATCTCACTGGGTTACTATAATGAAGAATTGAGCTAATAGAAGGGAAAATTGCTGTGAACTGTTAGCTTCCTATATAAATATAAGAGACTATTCATTTTGAGTGGTAAGGAGGGAACTTCTCTTTTTCTGAGAGAGTTGTAGTGGGTGACAGACTCCTAAGAATACCTAAGTAATGGCCTCCTTGAAGTAAACCCTCTCCTAAGTTCCATTCATGTAAAACAACTCACAGATATAATACCATTATCAAACATTTCCTAGAGCTCAGATCAACAAATTAGAGACTGTAATAAGATGCTAAGAAGATGGCACTGTTCTGATGATTTGATGTTTCATGTTTACACTACATGCTAAAAAGAACTGGGTTGTTTCAAAAAGCACTAAGCATTTTTTCAACATCTAGAAAACAGGACACCCCTAACTTTCAGAGAAGCGTAATATTATAATTAAAATTGTTCAATTTTAGCACACTTAACAGTTTTATGAGGAACTAAATAAAAAAGCAACAGGCAATATTTTCATTTTTATTTAATTAAATTTGAGCTCTAGAGAAATGAGCAATAACCCACCCATCATTTTAGCTTCAATATAAATAAAAATGAACATAAATTCACCTTCACATCTTCATCCAGTTTCATAATCTTCTTAATACGAGCCAGTGGCAGTTCCTGTACTCGGAAATCTTTCTAAAATGAGTAACAAAAGGTGCATAAATGGTGGGGACAATCAATAGGGCAAGACAGGCATCAGGAAGCACACTGGTAGGCTTAGTCCCTCCTTTTAAAAATATGGCAGGAGAGGAGGTACAAATAAAATGAAAACAACAACAAAAAAACCAAGCTCCTAGCAAAATTCTTAACTCATGTAGAGCTTTAAAAAGAGTTTCAAGATAAACTTAAAATGGCTTTTAGTAGATTTAAATGGGATTTCTGCCTCAGGAGCAAAAATTCATTCCTCTAAGTTGCCAATTCTTTCTTCTACTTGGGGATTGCAAGTGCCAGCATCACCTGACCACAGTGACCCCACAGTTTTCTTCTGACCTTTGCTCTAATCTGACACCAGAAATTGGGGGGAGCTCCCTTCCCATCACAGCAACAAAAGGCTTGTTTCCAAAATTAGCTGAGGGGGGTGGGGTGAGTTAGAAGATTATGGAAGAAGGGTGAGGGTAAAATTTTCAGCTGGCTTTTTAGAATAGTCCTTAGCCCTGACACTTTTTTTCTTAAATAACAAAACTAGGCGGGGGGAAAGGGGGGGGAATGGGATGGGACGGACAGACATGGATAACATCAACTTTACTGTGGATAGGATTTAGGAAAGGGCTTTTGATCAGCACTACTCAATTATTTGTGATTAAGCCCTTTTTTGCTTTATTTTGATACTATTGGTATTTCAAAGCATGCTTAATGATGGATACAATTCTAGAATTAAAAATCAATTCTGGGTTTCAGAGCTGCAATGAAGAAAAAGGTGAAAAGGCAGAGATTAGCTAAAATCAGCAAATTCCTTGCTGAGACTAGGTGTCAAATGATTGATTTTATAAGTGTTCTGAATGTGACTCACACCAAATCCAATATGTTCACACAAGATTTTGCATCATCACATTGTAGAAAAAGCAGCTACTATTTAAGATTTGGCATAATTAACAAAAAAAAGTAAACTTTCTTTTCCAAGACCAACAGCAAACCTCAACTATATGTTAAAGAAAGGGGTACTTGTGAAAAACATAAACAGCCTTCCCAGAACCTATTTTATAATTACAGAAGGGAAGAACAACTATTAGGATAAAATGCACACAAAGACATCTAATTTCCCCACACAAGCTCAACAAGCTGCTTGCTACTAGCTACCACTGACCTCCACAAACTTCCAACACCAATTTTTCATCTTTTCATTTTCCAAAGTAGGTGTCAATATTTTCCATGAAGCCTCTACTAAAACTAACCCTGGTGTAGCAGAGGTTTAGAATTTCAGTTTATTAAATTTTTACCAAAAGGAGAGAGCAGGACACATTCTTTCTATTCTTATTTTTTTCCTCCGCTTTCATTTACTCATTCATGTAACTCAATATGATACGTGCTGCTGTGTGGAAGATGCAAATCTATTCTTACCTTTGAACAGCTTATGGTTTGTTAGAGACAGTCACATAAAAACATTATAACGCCGTATATTATATTAGAACTAGAGGCCCAGTGCATGAAATTTGGGGGGGGGGATGGGGGGGAGGGGGTGTCCCTCAGCCCAGCCTGCACCCTCTCCAATCTGGGACCCCTTGAAGGATGTCTGACTGCCTATTTTGGCCCAATCCTGGTAGGTTCAGGCCTAAATGGGCAGTTGGACATCCCTTTCATAATTCAGGACTGCTGGCTCCCAACTACTCACCTGCCTGCCTTCCTGACTGCCCCTAAACGCTTCTGCCTGCCAGGCTGATCAGCCTCTAACCACTCCCCTGCCAGCCTGATTGATGCCTAACTGCTCCCCTGACAGCCTGCTCACTCTTAACTGTCCTCCCCTACAGGCCTGGTCACCACTAACTGCCCTCCCCTGCAGGCCTGGTCCCCCCCAACTGCTCTCCCTGCAGGCCTGGGTCCCCCCAACTGCCCTTCCCTACAAGCCCAGCCGCCCCCAACTGCCCTCCCTTGCAAGCCTGGTCCCTCCCAACTTCCCTCCCTTGCGAGCCATCTTGTGGAGGCCATCATGTGTCCACATTGGAGCAGCCATCTTGTGTGTTGGAGTGATGGTCGATTTGCATATTACCCTTTTATTAGATAGCATGGGGGTGTAAAATCCCACAGAAACAAAGAAGAAAATACCAGCTGGAAATGGGGGGTTGGAGTGAGCAAGAGGAGCTGGCAAATGTTCCACAGAGAGGCTGACAACTGAATTGTGTAGAAGGGATGCTACAAATTTGCTTGTTGGAAAAACAGAGAATTCATATTCAGACAGAGAGAGCAGCATGCGCAGAAGCAGAGACACACAAAACAGGCCCTATTTAAGTTTTAGATATATGACCTTAGTACAGAGGGCAGCAACATGAAAGAGAATGCTGGATTGAGGCCAGACCCTAAAGGGATTTAAAAAAACAAAAACATTTACCACAGAAATCAATCACTCATGTTCCTTCATGTGGGGCATATCACAGAATATGATGATGCTAAACAGAAATCCCAAAGACAATGGGGATGATAATTCCTTTGAAAGGCCTCCCAGGATGACATATACGTTACAAGACAGTAAGATTCAGCACTCTTGCAAGTGCACTCTTATTTGACTTGGTTAATGAATATAATTTCCATAAGTTTGTTCCAAGATTACTTAATCAAAGCCCAAAACTGTTAAAAAAATAAAAAGTAAAAAAAGACCTTCTTCCCCAACTTAAAAGAATAAAAATACCCACTTTCAGAATTTCTCTAAGACTAGTCTTCAGTCAAAATCAAGAAGAAAGGATCAACGATAAAGAGATTATATAATTCCCACCTTGGAGAAATATAAAGTGAGGCAGAAATTTACAAAAAGCTCTGCTTTAAGCCCATCCCAACCTTTTCTTTTGCAAGAAACTTTCTCATAATCTCCAAACCTTGAGCTCTAAGGGGACAGTGTGTGAAAAGTGGATCTTCAGATACATGTGTGTGCATGCCCCAGCCGTTTTGGCTCAGTGGACAGAGATCGGCCTGTGGACTGAAGGCTCTTGGGTTTGATTCCGGTCAAGGGCACATACCTGGGTTGCCAGCTCAATCCCCAGTAGAAGGCTGTGTCAGAGGCAGCCGATCAATGATTCTCATCATTGATGTTTCTCTCTTTCCCTCTCCCTTCTTCTCTGAAATCAATTAAAAAAAAAAAAAAAAAGAAAAAAAAATACTTGGAAAAAAAAGATATGTGTGTATAATTTATTATTACTGACAATAGCCCAGTTTTCTATAATCTCATCCTAGCTTTCCAGCCACATGTAAGAGTTTACAATAACCTTATTGAGAGGGGAGCCTTAATTATCAGTAGAATGATATCCACAAACTGGCTTTCAATTCAATGTTCCCTCATCATTGGCAACCATGCAACTCATGTGCTAATTTCTCCTGATACTGATCCAAGTGAAAGAAAACTTAAACAGATTTGACTCTACTCTTGGTAGTGTTATCAGCAAGTGGAAAAGCAGATTCTCTCTTAGAACATTTCTGTACTTTTGATCACAACAAAAGAACTCCATTAAAAATACTGCCATCTGAAACTGCTGAGTTTCAAGTCTGAATTCATTCAATGAGAGTTCAGAGCCAAAGAAAAGCCAATGGGTCTCAGGCAGCACTAAAGAACATCCAGAGTTTCAAATAATGATGAGAAATCTTTTCCAGGCATATCCAGCCAGATACTCCAGCAAGATAGGATCGACTCCTCTCAAAAGCAATGATTTTCAATCTTGGCTGCATGTTAGAATTACCTGGAGAGCTTTTGATGCCTGGGTTCTGTCCCAAACTAACTGAATCCAGAATTTTTGGCATCATGAGTTTTGAAAACTCCCCTGGTGACTGGGATCCATAGTCAGTGCTAAGGACCACTGCTGCTTTTAAAGTCTTACTACTCAGTTTCGCCTGGGAACTCAGGAAATGCAGAATCTCTGGCTCTGCTCCAAACCTACTATATCAAAATCTATTTTTTTAAACAAGATCCTCATGAAGTTTGAGAAACACTGCTCTATAAGAAGGGCTTGAACAAATGAACTGACCTTATATGTCAGAGATTAAAAGCTAATTAACTCTAAGAAATTGCAATATTAGTTCTACATTAGTAAGGAATCCAGTGTCTGCTCTACCAAGATACTAATACCTTCAAGGTAGGAATGCCACGTCTAACTGAAATGACACCAAATGGAACATTCTTCATTAAGGAGATGACACTATACTCTGAAAATATTTCAATTATAACCTGTCTCACCTCCTGCTACCACTGTTATAATCCTACCCCTCCCATTACTACCAACATAGTAACCTCCAGCCACTCTGAACTTCTTGCTGTTCCTCTAAACATAAGGCCCTCCACTCTCAGCCTCCATGTCTTTACGAATGCTGGTTGTCTCTACTGAGGATATACTCTCCCATCTTTTCCATCTAATGAATGCTTACTAATGTTTTAAGACTCAACAAAATGTCCCTTTTAATTAAAGCTTCCCTAACTCAACCAGGGAGAAACAAGCACTGTCCTCTGTGCTACCATAGCACTTTTTCACTGCTTCAGACTTATCCCTGTGCCTGACCCAGTATTTAATAGATATTTATTGAATAAATGATTCTAGTTATAATTACTAGATTGTAAGATCCCCAAGGGCCAGAGTTATATTTGATACGTTTAAGTCAGCAGTTCTCAACAGGGGATGATTTTAGCCCCCAAGAGACATTTGCCAATGTCTGGAGACATTTTTGGTTGGTACAACAGCCAGGACATGGGGAGCGTGCTACGGGCATCTGCAGAGTAGAGGCCAAGGATTCTGCTAAACATCCTGCAATTCACAGGACAGCTCTCAGAATAAAGAATTATTCAGCCCCAAAATGTCAACAATATTGCTGCTGAGAAACCCTAATCTAAGTGTATCTTTTAAAACTTGGAAAGAATAACTGCTTTAGAATAGATTTGTTTTTGAATAAATTGCCCAATAGTTTTCATCAGGTTCTAGAAATTTGTCAGGGCCATTAAGTTGGACCTAAGAAATGAACTGAAGCGACAGAAGAAAAGTGAGAGCTCTACTTTTCTATATTCTCTAAAAGATATGTCTCATTAAACTACCTCCAACTAAAAGTGCCCACTGCAAATCCACATTCCTGAGGAAAGTCACTAAAATCCTTGTAGTTACTTCACTTAAGGTCAATTATATTTTTATTTCCCTACCCAGAGATCAGGAATAAATTATGCCTTTGTAAATGGGCTTACACATGTTTTAGTCTATGTTTTGGTTATTCATCTCATAACTATTTAGTCTCTTTAAAAGTTTCTCCTTCTTTCTTACCACTGTTAAACTCCGGATTTCATCCATGACACGAGGCCAAAAGGTCTGTAGACTTTGCTGGGCATCACTGCTGCTGGTACCACCAAATCCTCCTTCTGTGGACATTCTGACAACTGAAAACAAATACATACATCAGATACATTAAAAATAATAACAAAGCCAGACTTTCTGTCCAAGTTATTTATATCTTTCCTTGTGGATGTTTACACTACTTCATTTAACTTTTCTTTTTCTAAATATATTTTTATTGATTTCAGGGAGGAAGGGAGAGGGAGAGATGGAAACATCAATGATGAGAGAGAATCACCAATTGGCTGTCTCCTGCATGCCCCACATTGGGGATGATGCCCGCAACCTGGGCATGTGTCCTCACCAGGAATCGAGCCGTGACCTCCCGTTTCCTAGGTCAATGCTCAATCACTGAGCCATGCAGGCTGGACTCATTTAACTTTGCAACAATGGGGAATTAAATTTAGAATAGAAAGAAGAGGGTCAGAACCTACATTCAATCAATTGCTTTATGAAGTGTTCAAAAGAAGATCAGTTAGAATCCCCACTTCAACTATACCTATAGATAATATTTTAATGTCTTAAAGGAAAGTAAAAAACTCCAGATGTCTTAAATGCTCACCTTAGCAAATACTTAAATGCAAAAAACCCCCCACAAAAAACAGTTTAATCAAACACAAAGAACTAGAAACTTAGGGATGTCCTAAGAATTTATATTTTGGGAAATTATTTGAAAAGGTTTAATAGTGCCAGTGACAGGATGCTGGTGGAAAGCTATGTAATTTATTAAGAATTAATTCTGAAGGGCGGAAAGAAGAGCACCAAACATGTTACTTTCCAAGCTCCATGCGGATACATGCTGGGCAATCATTCCATCAGCAGAGTGGAATGAAGGCTGCTAAATCTAGGTTTAGTCTGTGAGGATGTCTGATTCATTCAAATGTCTGAAATGTTCTAGAGGTCTCTGATTTTTTTTCTTTTTCTTTCTAAAGTAGTGGTTTTTAACCTACCTAATGCCACGACTCTTTAATACAGTTCCTCATGTTGTGGTGACCCCCAACCATAAAATTATTTTCGTTGCTACTTCATAACTGTAATTTTGCTACTGCTAATGAATCCTAATGTAAATATCTGTGTTTTCCAATGGTCTTAGGTGACCCTGCTAGCGGTTCTCAACCTGTGGGTAGGGACCCACAGGTTGAGAGCCACTGCTGTAGAGCCTAAGAATATCAGAAAACACAGATATTTACATTAGGATTCATTAGCAGTAGCAAAATTACAGTTATGAAGTAGCAACGAAAATAATTTTATGGTTGGGGGTCACCACAACATGAGGAACTGTATTAAAGAGTCGTAGCATTAGGAAGGTTGAGAACCACCGATCTAAAGGAAATGATAAAAGGAAAAAAGTGGAAGGAGAACCAAGAGTACAATCTTCAAAGCAGATTTCACTCTGATGTAATGACATTAGTGGGTGATTATGTAATGGGAAATGGTTTGGAGCCAATTTCTAGAGCTAGAGGCCTACATAAGAAGTTCTATAGATCAACAGGAACTCTAAGTACTAGGAAGCAATATGATCTTGAAGTTTCTGGAGGGAATTAAGAGTCTTGAATCACAATTGGAAATGACTAGATAAAATCCTGAGTCCTATATAACCAACTAAGGTCCTCAACTCAGCTTCCATTACATTTTCACTTATCACCGTATGCAAATAACCTATACACTATTCTCTTAGGTCAGTGGTTGGCAAACAGCAGCTCACGAGCCACATGTGGCTCTTTGGCCCCTTGAGTGTGGCTCAGCGTTAGAACCACTTCTTCAAAATAGACTCACCCAGGCCGAAAACCAACTTTCTGTGCATGGGCTACGAAGTTTCAATTGCACTGTTCGTGGGTGCCCGCAAATGGTATTTTGTGGAAGAGCCACACTCAAGGGGCCAAAGAGCCACATGTGGCTTACGAGCCACGGTTTGTCGACCACTGTCTTAGGTGTACTGAGAACAAAGAAATCAAGATAATGTAGAGAAGTTTAGTTATTTATTGTTATTAATAGAGTCTTATGATATACTCATGACAATGAAGAAAGTGAGACTCACCACCTTTTAAAATAGGGCAAAAAAAATCTTTCTGGAAATGAAAATAATTCCTTAAATTTTTAAAATAAGAATCTAACCTTATTGTATGGTCTATGGGCAGGCCTGACCTTAGCAAAATCCGCCATGCAAACTACCACAGTCACAATTGCCAGTGTGATATATTGTATTCTTGCTAATGATGAATGGGTTTAATTTGAGTGTACAGGTCTGTGAGAGTTAGAAAATCGGTGACAACTTTTGGTTGTCGTGTGATCTCTCCCAATAATCATTACAAAGGTGAACAGTTTAAGAAACACTTTTAAAACCACCTGTGTACAGTCTGATATTAAATTCTGCATTACACCTACTAAGGATGTCTTGGCGCAATCAATTCCCAAACATATGGGCAGCCAATAGATCATGAATGTCCTCCTTGGCTGGCTCAGAGCCTCATACTGTTGAAGTGGAGATTAGGTAGGTTAAAAATAGAAGCTAAATATTTCTGAAACTCAAAAATGAATTAAAGGTTATGTTTTTAACTTGAGAAGCCCATCTGAATTAGATAATCACAAAGGGATAATAGCACAAAATACAACAATAAAACTGTCCTTTATATTTTAGTGTATCAGAGTTAGGACTGAAAAAGACATTAAGAGCCACCCAGGCCCACCCCTCTAAAAGATGCTCACAGCTCTACTTCAACCTTTGCCCAGCCCATTCAATCCCACCTGAAGTAGTCATTTAGTTTAAATATGAGCTTATCACTCTCCAGTTCCGGGAAACTGGCTTACTGGTAAGGCATTCTGTGCTGCTTTGGACAGTTCTATACGTTAAGTTGAATTAGCAAAGTTCCAATTGAGCTTTGGATTCAGAATTACAGCTTTTATGATTTTTCTATCCAGGAATCTCTTTTTATAAATTCCTGACTTAAAAGATACTCTCCTCATTAGAAACAGAAGATCCTAACCTGAAGAAAAAGACAAAAAAGTTTGGAGCATATTTTCTAGCATCTTTGCACAGAAATGGTTAGTAGTTACTTCTTTTAAATAATTATTGAAAGAACATAAATTATTACTGTAAATTCCTAGAAAATTGAGTATTTTGAATCCAAAGGCTTTACTTAAAGCAGGTCCAGTCTTTACATGGGGCTTTAAATAACAGACCAAATCTTAAGCAACAGATTATATGAAAACAAATTGAGGTTCTTAATATTTTCTGACCAAGGTACAACTTAACATTAAATAACAAAACTTAATCATAAACACAAACAACTTTTGTTCACCAAGCATCTCAAAAAGTTAAAAAATATAAAGCAGGCCTAATCTTATCACTTATCTTTATAACTAATACATTAATTGAAACAAAACTGATTTTGTTGCAATTAATGTATTTATAACATCTACAGCCAATGGAAAATATGCTAGGTTCATCTTCTAGGATGATGAGAAAAAGTATGTATTTTAAAGTAAGAAAGAGATTTATATTCCATGACCCTTTTTATTCCGTTTTTATTTTATTTTTACTTTTTTTATTCCATTTTAAAACTATCTCTATCCTGGGATAAAACTATTTATATATAGATGACAAGGACAAAACTGTGCTAAGACCAAGCCACATTATCTTAGATCACTCTGATAAAAAATGCAGTACAGAATTTCCCAGATTTAATTCATTGATTGTAAATTTATCATTGTAGACCTATCATTCATGTTCATTAATTACTTTGTAAGTTCTTGAATAAGACTCCCTGACTATTTAGTAAAGACTTAAGGATCAGATGAAATATTGAATGGTTGTTGCTAGATATAATCTCAACTCTCAATATCTATTATTTGTTTTTTTAAACTTCAAATTTATTTAAAGTCCTTTATAATATGCCTAAACCCACAAACACAGTTTGCTTTCCAAAGCTAGAAAGGGAAGAATCAAAGAATCAGAGTCCATCATGCAAAGCTGATTGCTCCAATGTTCAACTCAATTGCCATCTCTCCACAAGACTTCTCTAAATACTCCCTCTCCCCCTCCCTCTCTCTCTCTCTCTCTCTCTCACACACACACACACAGACACACACACAAACACACACACACGGTCGTCCTGAACTTTGTAAGGAAAACTGGAAGGCAGAAAACATGGCTGCCTACAATTCCCAAATATATATCTTTTCAAAGTCAGAATCTCCTCAGAAAGGAGTCCAGGATATAGGGTGGTGAAGGCCTGGTGAAGGATCGGGAGTGGGCTGGAAGGGGTCAATGAGAGTAAAAAGGGAACATATGTAATACTTTCAACAATAAAGAATTATTTAAAAAAATAAAAAAAAAAGGAGACAAGGATAGAATTATGATAAAAGGTAAGTAAGTGAAGGAGGGCAAATATCTCTTTTGGCTACCCCATTACCAGGACGATAAGGAGAAAACCATGGAGGAAATGAGGTGATTCAATCAGATCACTCAGTGGTGGTCAATCTAGCTGTCATTTGAATATCCAGTTACTGTTCATCATTCTTGAAAAAAGAAGAGAACTACGCAGGTTTCAAAATATCCCAGAAGTAGAGTGCTTCCCCGCCCCCCTTTCTTCATTCATACATACGTACGTGTGTGTGTGTGTGTGTGTGTATACATATACATACATACATACATATATATATATATATATGTTTTATTTCAGAGAGGAAGAGACAGGGAAAGAGAGAAACATCAATGAAGAGAGAGAATCGACACCCGCCTCCTGCTCGCACGACACTGGGGACTGAGCCCACAACCTGGGGACGTGCCCTTGACCAGAATGGAACCCAAGACCCTTCAGTTCACAGGCCAACGCTCCATCCACTGAGCCAAATCAGCCAGGATGAGTGCTCCTCTTTCAAGATTCTCTTAGAAATCTTTCAAACTTTTGCTTTTGACCAGGTACCATGTTTGCCAAATCCTCCCTTAGTGATATGTGTGGACATGGAAAGGATGTATCAAAATGATCATCCTCATAAAATACAAACAAATATAAGATTTTAGTGCAACACTCCCT